AAGAAATGTGTTGATGTTTCTTAGTTAACTATTTTTATCACTTTTATGCATCTGCCTTGGACTATTCTTAAACTGTTCATTAAGATGATGTGTATTCCCCTACTTCTTTATTAGGAAGGTCAGATGGTAACTCACCCCAGTCCATTTTGAGCACATATCTTTGTATACATGTTTCTGTGACTTTGAAATATGTGGTGATAAAAACATTTCGTGGAGCATATCAGTAGTGCATTTTTGGAGATTCAAGTTGCTGGAAAGCTAAAAATAAAGACAAATATATTTAATGTAGAATTATTGTTCTCTCAGTTCTCAAATGTGCACATTAGATAAGTACTTGTGAAGATGAAAACAATCATTATCTGAAGGTAACTGCAAAGGATTAGAGATCTCAGCTGGCTGTTGTCAAGGCTGAAAGCTAATCAAATATATAATTGGTGCTTGATGTGGCTGATGGTGCAGATATTAGTATTCTCATAATACATTATATTTTTATTATGCAGCTACTTTGTTATACAGGTAGTCCCTCAACTTACAATCACAATTGAGCCCAAAATTTCTGTTGTTAAGTGAGACATTTGTTAAGTGAAGTTTGCCCCATTTCATGACCTTTCTTGCCACATTTGTTAAGTGAAACACTACAACTGGTTGGGAAATTCTGTTAATTATAGTCCACATATATTTGCCAAGATTGAGAAACTCTGTTTTAGAGAAAATTATATGCAGCATGAGAGAAATATGTATACAAAATGAATATATTTGGAAAAATAAGAATTTTGTGCACTAGGAGTTTTTGAAATCAAACTAATATTGAAACAACAAGAATTTCTAGAAGATCAAATTGCCAAATAAAAAGCATTAACAATTGTGCTGGTTCATTTTTAGAGACACTAACCAATAATGTTTGAAAAGAATTCAGGCTTTGAATTCCTCTCAGACAACTCCATCTCAGCCTGTCTTTAAACTATATATTGAAGTTTAAATACAGGTTGAAATGGAGTTGTGTCTCAGCTTATATATCTTATTATCTCAACTCTTTTATATTTTTGGTATCATATTTCACCTTTTATTAGTGACCCAGGAAATTATTGCTTCTTGACCTTTGATCCTGCTCTGTAATCTATCTCTTGCCATGGTCAATACAGTACACACTGATGTCTTCATTTGGAAAGATGCATAAACAAACTTCAGAGACTTTGTTATTATGCAAGATCTATACAATCTTCTAAATATTGGTTTATATGCCCTTATTCTGTTTCTGCTAGATCCAATAGCTCATTCAGGTAATTCAGATGAAGAACAGAACTCACCTTGTGAGCAACAGGGAGCAGTGTTGATCAGTACATCACATTACAGTATAGCAAAGTACCAATTTGGTACAAAGTACCAAAGTACATATGCCTCTTTGTACTATAGAGGCCTCCTGGACATATTAAAACCTTGGCAGTAGAGATGTCTGGCTGTATCTGCAAGTGATTGGCTCTTTGTTGACATCACAGCCAGATTTATGAAGGGGAGGGGCTGCTCATTGCAGCTTACCTGATGAATTTTTCTCTTTTTGAATTGTCAGATACCACATTTTACTCCTAATTATAACCTAACCTCCATTCAACCAGTTCCTCTTTTGGCTAAGATTCAGCAAAAACTGATGATAACTCAAATTCTGTTCCAGTTCAGGAAAAACATCTATTTCTGATTTCAATTCATGTTCAATTTGATTTTTGGATTGTAAATTTAGGCCTTGATTTTTGGATTGTAAATTTAGGCCTTGCTCCCTAAGCCTATTTTCTATGGGTTAAACCTCACTGACTATATCACAAGTTTCACTGAAGGTATTATTATTGAAATATACATACATTTGTCACATTTTCCATTGGTTGCTTATGAATTGGAGGTAAAGCAACAATTTCTTTATCATCCTGTAAAAAAGATCATAAAAGCTTACTGGGCTCCAATACTGCAACAATCTATTTAGTTGAATATGGAAAAAACAATGTTCATTGCTGAAATCCAGGCAAGTATTTGTGCGTCATCTGTCCTTCATTTCTATAGTACTAGCAAGCACTGTTATTTTTAAAGTATGTTTTTAAAAATATTTTTTATCTCAAAGGTAAAATATTAAAAGAACTACAAGAACAAAAAAGACAAAAATTAGTTTTTATAGCTAGTCAATTTGATTGATACACAATAAATGTCTATACTTGAGATTTCAAAAAAAAAACCTGATGTAAAAAAGTAATATAGATGCAAAATCTTATAATTATTTGCAGACCCACTGTGTAGGGCAGGGGGGGGGGTGTCTATTAGATTTATTTGAGAACATTTGTCAACATTCAGCCAGGACTGAATAAAGCATTTCTTGATTTATGGAAATGCTTAATGTTGGCTTTATACATGCTTAATGTTGGCTTTTTACATATTGTGCTCACTTTTTATTTTTGTGTTTCTAAAATGTGCTGCTTAATGGTACATTTTTCCTTGCTCTTTGCTATTGTCATGTTCTACATTTGTATTTCAAAACTATGTATAGGTTAGCATTTGTATGAAAAAGTATGAAGTAAATAATAATTCTTGTAATTTTATTGTGAAACTATCATCTAGGGATCCCCCTTTAGTATCAATGTCCTACTAACCACATTACATATATCTGAAATCATTACGGTATTATATTTGTTTCATTGTTATTTCTACCTGTTTGGAACATAAACTAACATAAATAGAAAAAAGTTAAAATTAATTTTTCATCTTTAAAAATGTACTTACTGAATGTAAAGACTTCTGAAGCAAATTTCGTTTTCTGTAAGTTAACATCATGGCTGAATGAGCTAATTTAAGGCTATATTTTATTGTTTGGCTTTTCCAGGTAATTTTTCTTTTTCCAGACCTTAGAATCAGGTACCTATAATATAAACATATATCTAATTTTCCTTCCAAGATCATTTAAATAAGCAGTTGACAATCAAAGGCAAATCATAAGGATTACCTTCACTTTCATATAACTATATTTCTTATCAGCAGATCACTTTTTCTCCAAATTTCTTTAGAAGTATCATTCTTATAAAATACCCACAGAACAGCAGTCTTGGGAATATGCCCTCTTCGATTTATCCTTCTGCTCTTGTTTTATGGAAATGGATGTTTCCCAGGCAGCATAGACTCATAGCAACATTCAGTGGCATAACTTGTTTGAGTTGCAATTCAAGTTTCAGTCTTTTTGAAGATGTATTGACATTAGCACAAGCCCAAATATGAAAGGAACTAGAAGTAGAATCAGAAGTCAAATCTAGTATGTGAACATTATTCAGGATCGTGGCTTATTTAGCATATCAGTATGATTTTTTGCTTTAACGATTAGAATAAGTACCATGTTGTAACCTCCCTTTAAAACTTAAATTACAAATATTAGCATAAAACCTGACGAAGAGAAAAATATATCTCTATCTTGTCTGAAATTTGTTAAGTGGCTGTTTAAGTAAAATGGATACTGTAGATAAATTATTTGATTGAATAACATACTTAATCCATTTAGAGAATAAAAATGGCTCTAGGTACTTAAAGAGATTGTATTCACAGAGAAATATTTTAATAATTAATTTTAATAATTTAATATATCCTATATAATAGTGATAATAATTAATAATTTGTTTTTAATTGCTTAAAGGCTTTAGGAAATCATTTTTCTTTTACAGGTTTTAAACTGTACTGATCATAATATACCAGCTTAAAAGTTTACAGTAGGAATACGCAGATAGCCTACCTTTTAAATATTCTCTTGTGCACCTAGAAGATCTGGTTTACATGTTAAACATCAGCAGAGGAAGAGATAGGGTATTCCAACTGTTTTTCCCCCATAACTCGTCTACTCAAATACATTGTCAAGGTAACTAGATCTCTGTTCCATAGAAACAAGCAACAAGTTCTCCGTCAGGGACCGACTGAATAAAAGGACAGTATTTTTTGAAGCTTGGCAGTTGTGGATTCTCAAGAGATGAGAAAAAATTCCCTCTTCCTTCAGAAAAATATACTGATTCATCAGAGGTGCAAATATATTAGTTTTTTTAGGATGAATTCATTTCACACAAATCATATTTTTATACAAATAATCTGCCAAAATTTGTGTAGCTCTTCTTTGCCAATATGTCATAAACAAAATTCTAGATAACTAGTTTCCCCACTAAATTAATTTGTGGAACCCTGGATACATTAGCTTTCCCTTTAAAAAAATCAGTCTTTAACTTGTGTCATAAATATTTAGTAGTTAAACTACAAAAAGCTGTTCCTGAAATACCTTAACTCCCTATGAAAAATACCAAACCCGAAATTCTTGCCTTGATGTTTCATAGGCCTGAAACATCACAGCATCTATATTCCTACAAATGGTGATATGTTTGCATTTCCTTGCACACATCACCCCTCTTTTGTGCCACTTTGTTTCTCTTGCTTCAAACACAGGCTAACTTGGGTCTCTCTTGAGACTCTCATCCTTGCATTGTGTTCCCTCACTTGCTGGCTTTCATACTGGGCCATATTTTTGCTGTTTTTCTATTTTTCCATTACTATTTTCTAACATCCAATGTCCAGAGCAAGATCTCCTACATTTAAAATCTTCCTTTGTTGCTTTAAAACCTTTATTTTTTTTAAAGAAGCTTGAATTTACTTTTTTGGTAGCTATAGTTTATTGCTTTGTGTAAATTCGTACACACTTCTTCCTTCGTCAAAAAATCTTTCAATTTTACTTTTATTCAATCACAGACTTTTTAGATGTATTCACTTATTAGTATATCAATAATCCGTTTGAAATTGATGTTTTAAAAGTAGTTACCATATTTTATTTGGTAGCAATATTTAACATGACTTAGATACATATTTTTGCCAAATCAAATTTATGTATTTTAATTCCATTTATTTAACAAAGACTGAGCACTCCATTTAGACTATTTTTAACTACCACATGCCCAATGTCTGTAGAAAGAGCCCAAACATAAATAAAAACACAACAAAGATAAATAGAAATTTATTTAATCCCTCCCAACAATTAAAAAAACTGTATTAAGGCATTTTATTCTTTATCACTACTGACCTACTAAAGCAGACTCCTCAAATACAAGATATCTGATCCATCTAAATATCATCTTAGCTATTAATTTGACTGAAAACTAATGACAATATCCATTTTTCCAAGTAAAATATTGAAATTGAAATAAAGGGGGGGGGGCAGCACCTGAAGCCAGTATCCCATTATTTTTTGCAAAAAGAAATATAACTAAAAATGGCATTTTCATTAGCAATGCCAATAATTATTTTATCATATGCATTGTATGAAATTCTTCATATAGTGTAATCTACACAGAAATAAATTCAACTGTTTATGATGGAGCTTATTTCATAGTGAGAATGTAAGACCTCTAAATGTTGCTAACTTCCAGCAGTCAAGAACAACATTGCCAGCGATAAGGGAAACTGGCTGTAGAAGTTCAGCAACAGCCAGAAAAATGGGTATTTCTATCTTATGAGTTCAGATCTACATCATTACTTCTTTCCTATCTGTAGGCCCCACTTTAGTAACTGTTTATTTTCTTCATATATTAGCAGCTTTGCCAAATGAATATTATTTCTCTTTTTACTGACTGGTATTACCTAGAGAATACTGGATATATACTTTCCAATTAAATAATGGGGATAGTCGTTCTTTGGTAAGAGCTAATTGCCACGAAACGAATGCACCAGTGTTGGAACATCAATAGTATGTAATGTAGTAGTAGCAAAATTGTCATGAAAATAGAAATCACTGTTGCTACACATTGTTTTTTGTAACTAATGGCCTTGTTTTGTTTTATATTTCACACTGAAGAATATAATGAATATGCTATGCACAAAGGGGATGCCCACTTGAATTGGGCTATACATTCTTTTTTTATGTAATTTAAGTTGGTGCACATTTTTCATAACATCAGCTACAATAACATTTTTCAGCCTTTTGATAAAGGCTGAATGCTATGAATAGTATCTGAAATGATACTGTAAATATACAAGAATCAACCATGGGATTCAAATACAAATATAAAGATTAAGAGGTCTAGAATTTTTAGAGCAAATGTTCTAAAATAAGCTATGTTGATTTCATTTACCACTAAAGATTTTTATGATTTAGTGAATAACAATATACATTAAAATTACATATTGTTACAGTCAGTGTCATGACAAAGTACATCAACACTGCCTTTGACATATTTCCTCTAAAGGAAAACGTGATCGGACAAAAATCATAAAGCCAGAAAAATATTGTTCTTGATGGGTACATTTTAACACATTTAAACATGTGTGGAACTGTTATTTATAAAACTTGTGGGGGAGAAAATCAATGTTATTACAATGTGGATCAAAGTCCTCCTATTCATCATCCTTGGAGCCCGTTTTGCTCAGCTGTAAAAAGACAAAAATAATTTTATAATTTTTCTGTGACAATAAACAGCAATTAAAATCAATGTGACAATGTTATTATAAACCATACTGAGAACACACAACTGTTGCTATTTTCATCATAGCATTACTATACTCAGTTGTATCCTACACAGTATAAGTTAGCAAAATTGTAATATGCAAGTTATAGTGTCAACAATGTTGGCTATTCCTAGTGAACAACACCTTTATGTCCCAGATCAGCAATTGAATTGGATTAATACATTGTGATATATCTAAGGAACTAGATGGGTCTTTTTAGATGAAAAATAGCATTATTAGTTTTTATATAATTATTAGATAAAACTATTTTATTTGTGCTAAACACCACACATTCTTTAAAAGGTATTAACATTTTTTTGTACACACTTCTGAAATCAAACAATAAGCTTATCAGAAAAACCCTTGATGGGCTGTAAATATGGGTTTTCTCCCAAAATGGGCATAACTGGCTGTAGATGATATGGCTTCAGTGGAGAGACTTAAAGAGACTAGGAGACATGTGATAAACTAGAATATGCATGTTGGATTGCTAACAGACAGTCCTCACTTTAAAATGATAATTGGGAGCGACAACTCCATTGCTAAGTGATGAGGTCATATAGCATAATTTCATGTGACTACTCTGACTTAATTGGCAATTGTACCAGTTTCAATATAAATCATTAGGCAAATCCTGCAAGGTTGCAGTGTCCCGCAGTCACATGATCAGCATTTGTGATCTGTCAGCTTCCCTGTTGACTTTGCTTGCTGAAAGCGAACAATGAGGTTCACAAATGGCAATCACATAACCATGGGGTGTTGTGACTGTTTTAATTGCAAGCTAGTTGCCAACTGCCCAAATTGCAATTACATGACCACAGAAAGGTTGCAATAGTCACAACTATGAGGAACAGTTGTTAAGCCCCCTCATTCAGTACTACTGCAACTTTGAAAGGTTTTTGAAAGAGTGGTTGCTGAACAATGGTATCTGCAGGGAACTTTTAAAATCCTAATGCATGCAAACACATACTTTTTAAAAATGTTTAAGATACTCTTCTGGATACTTTTTTCAATGGATTCCAAAGACAACATGGATACTTGGGACTAACCCCTTCCTCCTTTTTAAAATTAGTCTTTGAAATATGAAGGATACAACATGACTTCTGAAGGACAATACCTGAATAAGTTGAGCTTCTTTTTGTGTTTTTAGGAAGTTGGAGAATTTGCTGAAAATCTTTGGCTTTGCTCTCAATTTTTTTTAGCTGATTTGAACCAGTAACTGATATAAACGTGAAAGGAAATTGTGGCTGCCTGTTTTGCATTCAACTGCCCTTATGCTACAATGATTTAGTTTTAGCAACCCATTTGTAAAAATCACAATGATATATTTTAATTTTATTATTGCATACTATATGAGATTTGCCTCAGATTTAGTTGAACAATGTGTAGCACTCTTCTACAGCAGTGGTTGCCAACCAGTGGGCCGGGGACCACTGGTGGCCCACAAGAAAATTTTGGTGGTCCGCACAAAGCACCCCCCATAGCAATTAATCCAGGCTGCGTGGGAACACAAGGCTGCACCACCCACATGGCCCGCGGGAACACAAGGCTTGCCTGAGGGGAGTGGGGAGAGTAGGGAAAGGGCAAAGTGGGGAACTTGCCCCACTCGCCTCGCCTGCCACCTGACTGCTTCTTTCTTTTTCTGCTTTTGGCTCCATGCAAGAAAAGCAGCAAAAGTCTTTCTTTCACTCCCCCAAACTCCACCAGAAATGAGTCTTTGGGACTCTGCAAGGCATCCTGCTCAAAGAGGCTGTGCCAGTGCGACAAATCTCACAAAGACTCATTTGTGGCAGAGTTTGGGGAGAGAAAGAAAGACTTCTGCTGCTTCTGCTGCTTTCCTTGCACGAAGCCAAAAGTCTCTCCCCGAGAACGGAGCTGGAGATGGTATCCTGCGATCCCAAATAAAGAACGATCGGTAGGAAAATGGGGTGGGGAATTTTCCTGCAAACTTTTTGGGGATTTTCCCATGGTCTCTGGTCCACAAGATTTAAAATTATAAGTTTGGTGATCCCTGAGGTCCAAAAGGTTGGCGACCCCTGTTCTACAGGATACAGATTGTTAGTGCTTAATTAAATATCTACATTTTTTTCTTTAGGATGGAGTACAAAATCTCTGAAACACTGATCAAGACAAAAAAGATATACAGATATCAATGCTTAGAACTAAAAACATGGTTCAAAATGGTTCAGTAAGATTGAAATACTTACATGCTTTATAATAACACGAGGAAAATCCCATTATCATTCATATCCAAAATGATTAAAAGAAGAACAAAGAAAAAAATATTAGATACTGCTAAAATCTCGCCTAAAGTTACCACTTTAATATTGTTAATTTTCAACTCTTACCTTGATTACATCAACCCAATTCCATCCTCGAGGAAGTTCTCCTTTGTGATCTAGTCAAAATAAAAATTCTTTATGTATTCGTGCAATTTGAATTCAAGCATCTATTTTAAAATTAATGTATTAATTTACATCATAGTTTGTGGTTAAACTTAAAATTGCCAACTGTGGCTTATCGCAAACTGTTATGAAAAACTGGGGAATGTTTAGCAGTGATGAGGAAGGGAATTTATGGCCTTCCAGATGTTTCTTAATTTTAACTGTCAATATCCCTGACTATTGGTCATGCTGATAGTTCTAGTTCAGCAACATACATTCACAAAAGAACAGGATTCATTACTATTCTGTGAGAAAACAAAGAAAACAAAGAAACACCTATTGTGCACAAAAGCTCAGCATAAATCACAATACAGGAAAAATCCTGTATTTGCTATATCCTATATATAAAACATATATTCTATGCCATACTTTTTTAATTAAAAGAAAGTTAAGCTATATTAGGAGTAAGTTATACAAACCTGTTTTGTCAGCTAACTTCCGCTTTTGCGTTTTGGACAATTGTTCCTTTTTCTCCTTTTTCTTAGTTGGTGGTGCTGCCTCAGAATGACCAGTTGAGATGCAGTTATTTAATGCTGTCTACAAAAATGAAATGTATTATTTGTTAAGAATTCTCTGTAGTTTAATTGTCAAAACAATATTTTGTATGATACAATCACTGCTTCTGGGATACTGGATTAATATAGGAATGTCAAACATGGCTAGGAATTGAATTCAATCTTATAATAACAATTCAATATCAAGAAACTGACAGATTGCATAGAAAAACATTTTCATATGATGAGATAGGTCAATATTTGGAACTATAAGCTCACCACAGTATTAACTGGTTGATTTTCCATGAACAGTTCTTTATTATCTTTAGCATATTCAAATATTGTGTACGTCATTGAGGTTCCTAGGTTAACTTCAACTTCTTCCATTAATTTATCCAATATACTTTGTTTTATGGCTGAGGATCTAGTGCAGATGACAAAGAAAAGATAAAAAGTTAATTCTAGAAAGACTGTTTCTTGAACGTCTTAAGAACTGGACCACTTACATGGCATTGTTGAAGAATGCATCCATTGATATGACAGGAGCAGTTTGTGGGTATGTTTCTGGCCATGATATTTCTATAAGGAAGGCTTTGGGGTCTCCACTTTGACCTATCTAAAAACACATATAAGTTATGTCTATTCAGGAATCCAGTCAATTCAAGCTTTAATTAACAAAAATACTGAAATAGATATTTCATTTTTACATTCAATGTCTATTTTAGAAGGAATTTTCAAGTAGTGTTATATGAGCATTAAAAATACAAATATGACTTCACCAGAATCCACAAAATAGCTATACAGCAGGAAATGTGGCAGAATATAAATTTAATTATGATTATAACAATGATCAGCAGAACCTTTCTGCTATGTTATGCTCCCTTTTCATAAACTAATGAGTCAGCATTATTTATGTCTGGATATATTAAGAAAATGAGTACACCCAACCTGAACATCTCAGTGTAAAACTTGGTATACAGCCTTCAGCTCTTGCTGTTTATATGCCTTGATGTTGTAGCTAAACTACAAATTGTCTTAAATGTATATACAGGAAGTCCTTGCTGAACAACCACTCATTCAGCGACTGTTCAAACTTACAATGGCGCTGAACAAATAGTATTTACAACTGATCCTTGTATTTCTGATGGTCGCAACATTCCTAAGGTCATGTGATCACAATCCAGGAGCTTGAGTCACAATTATGTTGTATTATCCTGTGGTCACTTGATCACCATTTGTACCTTCTTTACCAGCTTCCTACAAGCAAAGTCAAACTGGCAGAAGGCTGCAAATGGCAATCACATGGCATTGCACTCAACATTGGTGAATCCATTTACTGGCCACCAGAAGTGCTGGAATTTTCATTGCTAAATGCTGCGCTCATGAGACTTCATGCTTTATGATGATGTTGCTTAAGCAATGGAAATTCCGGTCCCAGTCACCATTGTTTAGCGAGAACGACCTTGATAAAGATAGAACCTAAAGCTTAAGAGATTAATATAGGCTGATTTGAATTAATGATTTCTCAAAACTTACCCTATATTGAAAGGAAATGGGACTAAGTTCCCTAAAACAGTCATCACCTTCATAAATAGAACGTAATGCTTCTAACTCCATCTGAAAGAAAGCACAAACACTTTATAGTTTTATGTGTAATTTTAATCTTAAACTGTACTGGGAGGACTATAAACCACTCAGCCAGGCATGAGTAGAATGGTATATATGCTTAGTAAAATATTTAAAATAAACAATATCTGATTGAATATAATCTTAAATCACATTTTAGTAGTTTTCAAAAATATTTAAAAACATCTCAAAAGAACTCTATAATCCTAGGAAGCTAACCATGCCATATATGTTATATCTAAAATTAAAGGGATGTGATAAGGGATGTCAATACGTTTTCAATGGTGGATGTCATCAGCCATAAAGTATAATCAGTAGCATTGGTTTTAAAGACTGAAAAGAACCAGAAATTGCTTTTTGTGACGCATGAAAAAAAGAACCTATATCTATAAAAGCACAGAGCTGTAGAAAACCCTTAATTTCCGGAAGAAAAATGATCTTAGCCATATTCACACACAGCATCACAAATGCACCGTCTGGGTTTTATGGAGCCAACCTTACTACAACCATGGAGTTGAAAGAGTCCATTTAGACCAGTGTTTTTCAAACCTGGCAACTTTTAAGATGGGTGGACTTCAACACCCATAATTCTCCAGCATGTTAAAGTTGCCAAATTTTACAAACACCGGTTTAAATCATCCAATCCGAATTCCACTGAAAGAAGCCAAACGAGGGATTCGTGCAACGGGTAGTGCAGTTATCCTGTCGTTTCAAAGCTCCACGCGTGGCACTAGCGCTTATTTGCAAACACAGGCAAACGCCACAGGCGAAGCTTCCTTCCCGCGTACTGCTGATCCATTACGCCGGAGAAGCTCCCACAATGAGATCCAGGGAGGGGCGGTCCTTTCCTAGTCACGCCCCTCCAAGGGGCGGTCTTCACATAGCCCGGGGCGCTTTTACTCTTTCCATTCCCGGACCCTGCCAGTCTATTCCACGCCTTCATCTCCCTCACCTCCTGGTCCTCGTTCGCCGTCATGGCGCGACACCGGGAAAGAAGGAAACCACCCCCCCCTCCTATCGCGCTCTCTCCCCTTCCGCGGTCTCCTGGAAAAAATTGCACGTCACTCCGATCGGGAATCGCGCACGCTAGATCAATACAAAAGACGGCCCTCAGTGCGCAGGCGCAAAAAATGACAAGGCGGAAAGGGAGTCAGGCGCTCCCTCTTTAGCTGTGATTGGACAGTGTGACCCACCTTCCAGCTGACTATTGGCCGATTCTTTTCATCATACCTTCTGATTTGCACGTTCTTTATCTTAGACTGGAGCAAAGCTCGGTCGGTTCCGCCTCTTCCTTCCTTCTTCTTCATTTGCCGCTTGGCGGCACTTTAGCTCTGCCCATCTCCTACCGCGTTCCAATAGCTGGCGCCAGGTGCTTAGGACCCGCAGTGCTTATTGGTCATACATGGTTATCAATCTTAATACGCCTGCTAGGTGTTTTCCTCAGACAGGCCTCGGGTTCCTGTTCCAAATGTTCCCTTTTTCTTCTGCACCCGCCTGTCGAATGGATCGTGTCACCGAAGGCTGACGGCGAGGTCCTCCTCCCCGGGGAGGTCGTAGTGCGGGTGCGAGGCAAGGGGAACCGACGACGGAGTCGCAACGGAGCTTGCAGTGTGAGCATCTCCTCTCAGGCAAAGGCACAAGGGGCGGCGGCGGCGGCTGAGAAATAGGTTCAAATTGTACACAAGACATTCTGTCATTGTTTTTCGGAAAACATTTCGGTTTCGTAGGTGTGCCGCTTTTACTCGGAACGTGAAACGGAGACTTGAGGATTTTAATAAAAGCGGTATACGTTCAGACTTAGTTATCCTTATTAAAATAAATGGCACTTTAATCAGAGGAGGACGGAAGTCCTATTAAGTGCATTAGACTGGTTTTGAGCATGATTGTAGCAAGCTTTATTTTATTTATTTCCTCCTGAGGAATAGAATAAAGCACTATTCGCCGGAATCACAAAATGCGCTAAGCCATCAACCGTAATTTGCAAATCACATGTTGGTCTTCATGCAGTAGAAAAGCAAAAGAATATTCTTACCTTATGTGATGTGTTGAATATCAGCCTTCAGCCTGCATGGCTGCCATTATTATGCAATAAAATAAATGAATGCAAAACAATGTATTAATGTAAAATGAAACCAAATAAATCAAAATAATAGAAAAATGGTTTGATGATAAAGCTGAAAATAGGCTGCCTTTTTCTGCCTTAAGAAGGTTAAGAAGTGATTTTATTTTACGGCGATGGTTTCCCAAAATCTTGAAAAATGAGTGAGAAATATGTGTATTACAGAGATTATAAATATAGCCATATTTGATGTGAATAGGACTTGTTAGTAAATTTATTTGAATGACTTTAAAGTTCACAGGGGAGTTAATTTTTTTGAAGGCCTTCCAGGTAACATAAAGAAGACCTGTAAATGTCCTGTGGTCTAAGGTTGATTTTTTTTCTATTTGGTTCAATTTAGCTACAGGCAAAACCATTTTAAGGCACACAATATTGCAGTGGAATGTCTAATAGAATCTAGAATTATTCAGTCTCATACTCTCAAACTTTATATCTTGCTGTACAGAAACACCTGAATTTATTATGTCTGCTTGTCACAAGTTTAGATAATAACAACTTTAAATATTCTACATATTACAATATTCGTTAGAAAAATTGTTTTGAATATTTTTTCTGCTTAAAATTTCAGAGTATATTTGGAACTGTCAATATGAGCCCTTCACAGTGGGATTTTCCAGTGGAATTATGTTGCCGACCAATGGCCTTTGTTACACTCACTGGTTTGGATGTTGTATATAATGCTGTTCATCGAGCTGTCTGGGATGCATTTTGTGCAAATAGGAGAGCAGACAGAGTACCAATTTCTTTCAAAGTACTTCCTGGTGATCATGAGTATCCCAAATGCAGAGTAAAGGTATTGCCCTAAATCTTACAGTAAGAGTTAAAAATCATATTTTAATGTAGGTTTATTTTACTGAGATTCAAGTATTTAAATTCTTTTTTTGAGTATTTCCAGGGTTTTTGGGAATTAACATTGTAAATTTATTCTTTCAAAAGCAAAGATTATAATTATAAAGAATTATAGTTAAGGTGAAGCAAACCTAACACCTTAAATAGGCTGGAAACTTTCTCTGATTATAACCTAAACAAAACATATTGTTGATGTGCAGCTATATTAAATCAAGCTGAAGAAATAATAAAACATTATTTTAAACTGGCTTCGTTAGGAATAAATTTAGCAAAACTCATTCCGTAGATATGCAAATTAAATGATAAGAAGGAAGAAAAATAGAGAGAGCTAGCTCTTAGTGTAAACTGGGAGACTAGGTTCTTGCCCTCCCTCAGGCATAAAGCCAGCTGTATAGGTTTACACCAGTCATTGTCTCTTAGCTCTAAGAAGAAAGCAATGCCCAAGGACTTCTGAAATTTTGCCAAGAAAAATATAAAGATTAGTCCAGGCAGTCACCAAGTGTCAATGTTTACTTGAAAGGACCAAAAATGACACCTGTCTGCAGTAGTGATGATACCATTTTTCAACTTTTTCAGAGATTGTCATATGAATGGTACATTCCAAAGGGTATCTTGAAAACAGGTTGGATGAACAAGCATCTGAATTTGGTTCCTGCACTTGTTGTGGTATTTTATGAGCTAGACTGGGATGAGCCACAGTGGAAAGAAAAACAATCAGAGTGTGCTACTAGAGTTGAAATTGTCAGGTATTATTTTATGTATTCTATAAAATACTGTTTTACAATAATACTGAAGAGGGAAAGAAGATACAATTCACTTTTTTTTTCTTTTGGGTTTAGACTAGAAGCTGTTCTCTATCTGAATGCTTCTTTAAAAATAAAAGCTTTACAATGTTTAAAGTATCTGTCAAGTAAAACGACACTGCAGTTCCTTTTTAGAATCTAAATGGCAAATAAAACACCAATTTTTGAGTCTTGTGAAGTTTTTAAATCTGTATATTTGTTATTGCCCACCTGAACGAACAAATGCATTTTATTTTGTTAAGTCTTTATAATCTTTGGTTAGCTTGATGTCTTATTTTTTTCAGGCAGAGTTTGCAGGGCCGAAACACAAAAGTTGCTGTAGTTTTAATTCAGAAGAAAACTCCCTTACCTCCAGGTAAAATACAATTTAATTAGAGTTGTGTGACTGAAGCATGGTAATCTAAAGTAATGTGGAATGTTATTCTTGTTTAGTGAGCAGAAATAAGAGCAGTGAAAATAGTTGGAAATAGTTTAGGTTGGAATCCAGTGTTCATCTTCCACTTATGAAATTTTTGTCAATGAAAGCAGGACACTTTCTCCTCTAATTGTCAATAAACTCAGAAGGATTGTCCTGAATGATCAGATATCCTTGGAAACAGATTTATAAAAGTTGCCCCATTGCATTTTTGACAATAGAAGCAGTTCTGTTAAGGCAAAAGAAGACTAGATACATTAAAATAAGCAGGATTTTTTTGTTTATAATACAACTACAATTTGTAACTGACAATTTTGCAATACAATTATACTTGTTAGGAAAAATATTTGAAACAAGAAAAGATATAGATGCAAGATACGTCTAGGAAATCTTTTAATAAAGGCTAAGATAATGAGAGTTTGCATTATAGAAATCCATGGAGAAAAGATGTTCATTCTTTTGAAAATGCATAATTCATATAAATTAACTTGAAAGAATTGTCTATCAAGCAAATTGCTTTCAATTGTTTTACAGCAATTATTAACATTGGAAAATTGAATCAGTCTGGACATAATTATTTGCTATAGACTGAAAGCCACCTATAAAATGGATCAGCCTTTCCTATGAAATGGATCAGTTAATTATTTCAGCTTTTGCATAATTAATAAAACAGTTAACAGCTAGAAAGAAAACAAGCAAGAAAACAAGTAAGCTCAGAGAGCACCAAGGGACCCCTCTTTTCAACCCTGAGCTACAGATATTTGCCTGTATTAGTTCCAGCTATGTGCAGAGGAGCGGTGATTCTGATTCTTTCTAGGAACGTGGTTGCAGTCAGAGAGTGGGAGGAGAAATCAAGCCTTGGGCATCCAGTCTGGATTGCCATAGGGCTGATTCATCCCTGATCTTACCGAGTATCTCAGATGATAAGGTGTCATAAGTACTGATAGCATTTGGCTATACAACTCCAGGCTGAATGGGAGATACCTTGGAAGTCTTGATCTTGTGTTTGGAAGTTGTTATCCGTTTGAAAGAGGAGGAATAAATTAAAAATCAAACAGCTGGCTGTTTATTCTAAAAGCCAACTGATTACAAGACAATTCCAGCTATACTTGTGACTAGGCTTGTGAGCGCCCAAAGTAAGAGGTGTCATCATTTGGTGGTCTTTCACACTAACAATTTATGCCAGATGAAGAAGTGCAATGTGTGCCCCCCCCCCCCCCAAGGACTTACTCAGCTTGGGTTTGCATTCCAATTAAGATCATTCCTGGTGTCGGATATAGTAATAGTTACTTGTACCTTTACTCCTTAAGGCTGGTTTATTGTAGTTTCCTTTACACAGAATCACCTAGAAATGACAGCTAGTGCAACATGCAGTGGTTTCCATATGAATGGGACTGTTTTGATATTCCCATATAACTTCTGTGTTGTGGGAGCTGCATTTATTATCAGTTTCTGTTTTCTGGGTGCAGTGCAACAATATTGCATGGCTTAGGAGTTGGATATTTATAAGACTCCTTGCTCTGAGTAGAATTTGCCCCTCTGAGGTATACAGAGAGAAAACATTTATTAAGAGATATTTGCTCTCTGCTGAAGGTCATCTCTTGTGCAATCAAATACCCTTCATTCTATTTATTAACATTTATATGTTTTGTAGATTAGTTAAGTTGGCCCAATTGAAGAGACATAACATTACCTGTAACAAATACATGTTTGAGACAAAACATATCGATATTCCTTGTCTGATGATGATTCTGTTTAATCATGTTGATTATCGGTGATTCTATGTAAGTTTTCTTCACATTTTTTATCTTGTATGGCTGCTTTCACTTGTTTCATTGTTTCCTAGATACATCTTAATAAAGTTTGAGAATATTTGGATTAAGATTATTCAAATCATTTTTGAATGTGCTTGTCTATATTTACTCTAGG